AAGTCGATCCCTGATGTAAACCAACAGAAATAGGAAAATATTTTGTCAATCCTCCTTCAGTTTGAACACAAGTAACAGCTCTAGTATACATATCTTTAATGACTTGAATATAAGTCATATCAACACATTTCTTCTCGAGAACTCTCCAAAGGATATCTTTTGGAACCTTATCGTAAGCTTTTTCTAAATCAATAAAAATCAAATGTAGATTCTCCTTATTATCTCTGAACTTCTCCATCAAACCTCTCAATAAATGTATAGCTTCCATAGTAGACCTGCCAGGCATAAATCCAAATTGATTATGAGAAATTTTCGTGATGCATCTTAACCTATGTTCAATTACCCTCTCCCATAATTTTAAAGTATGACACATCAACTTAATTCCTCTATAATTTGCACACTCTTGTGCATCCCCTTTATTCTTAAAAATTGGGACTAAAATACTCTTCTTCCACTCAGACATCTTTTTAGTTTTTAAAATAATATTAAAGAGTTTAGTGAGCCAAGAAATGTTATTTGTAAATTTTTAAACTTTATATTTTCTTGCACATTATTATTCCACCACCAACTATTTTTATTTGTAAATATTTTTCCTTTTGATTCTCCAAGAACATCTTTTGCTACTTGTTTAATAGCGTTTGTTACTTTATCCCACATCACATTTGCTTTTTCATGAATATTCCAAATTTTGAAATCTTGAATTTTACTCATAAAAATAATTTTATTTGTATCTTTTAAGTTTCTCCATCTAATTCTGCAATGATGAGTCATAGTATATTTTTTTTACAACTCTTAATCTTAAAATATAAAACTAATAAGCGATGTTGGATATTTAAATTTTCACTTGGAATGACTTTACAATTTTTACAATCACGACGATCTCTTCTTCTCATAAGAAAATAATCAATTTGTGTTTTATTAGATCCACTCTTATAAGTAATAAGATGTTCATCCCTTTTCTTGAATAAAGTATTAGTAATAACAAAATCAAACGCTAAAGCAAAATCTAAAATAGCTTTACCTTCTTCATTAGTTACTCCAAAACCGTAGCCACCATGAATATTTCTGAAATCTTCTACCACTCTACCGACATGTCCATTTAAATCTCCTCCAATAAAAATTCTTTCTTCAAGAGGTATCATTTGTATTAAATCTTCTAAGTCATTCCAAAATTTATCTTTAAAACCTGTATCTAAACCTACTTGAGGAGCATAACCACTTATAATATTAAAAATCTTAGTATCAATGATAATCTTAAGGGCTATAATTCTATCACCAACTCTATTAATTTTTACAACATTATCTTTCAAACTCTTATCTATAATTACACCTACACCATTTCTAGTGCGACTCTTACCAGAATACCAAAGTTTAAAACCTAAATTATCAATCTCCTTAGTCTTTTCTCCAACCCACTTAGTTTCTTGAATACATAAGATATTAATTTTCCTATGAATCATAATATCAACTAATTCCATTAATTTACCATTGAGAGTGTCTATATTCCAAGATCCTATCCTAATATTAGTTTCATTAGTTTCATGGACTAACTTCTTTACCCGCATTCACTCGTAATGTGGGAACCCTTGCTTATTTAACACTACACCCGGGCTCCGGTGTAGTGGCCCTTGCACATTTTTCACTGTATTCAGGCTATACAACGCGTCGCTTCCAGGGGACGCCCTAGCACTTACACAATGATCAAAAGGATTCATCTCATGTTTTTTTTTCGACAAGTTTTACGCTGGCTGTCGACTACCTAACGCAACCTTCCACTTTTCTCATCCGGGCTTGGGACCGGCAACGACAATGTGGAGGTTTACCACTTGTTTCTAAACAAGCTATAAACACACCACTTTCAAAAGGAAGAAGATACAATACTCCTTAAGGAATAAATTAGAGATAAAAATCTCTAAAATACATAAACAAAGTAAAATTCATTAAGTCAGAAAATAACAACATATAAATAGTCCCCCAAGCATAAAAATTCTAGTTTTAATTTAATAAAATAAGAAATTTAGACCTCTCAAGGTCAGCGGCAAGAACTGGACGATAAGTCCTTATTTCGGTACGAAACGGGACACAATCATGCCCGTCCCACTTGCAAGATTGCGGAAATCCCGCAAAAATTCCTTATATAAATTTTCTTAATGTTCTCCAGTCATGTTAGATAATCGGGAGCTCAAAAGTTCTTGTCTGACTTGATTTTTTGGAAGTTATTGTGCAAATCTGATTGCCTTTTATACTGCTATTAATAAATGCCTAAACTATATTTTTGATAAATTCTTTGAGATTTCTCAGTAATTCCCCATAGGATTTAATATTTACTTAATACTACAGCTTTCCTTTGTTTATTTTTTAGCACTACAATTGGAAAATTAAATTCCTCGGATGCTTTTTTTATTATAATTTTGTTTCTTTCAGGCTGCTGGACCCTAGCTTGGAAAGTTCTGGATCACTTTTTGTAAGTAGCTATGTGTTGCAACTTATATTTCACTTTCCATCTGAAATGGCTTTCCACATACGTGAGCTTGTTGCTGCGATTGTGAGACGCATGCAATCTTGTGAAATAGCTGGGCTAAAATGCTCTCTTATAGTTGTTCTCGCCAGACTGGTAAGTTACTTTTCAGTGATCTCCCTATTTCCATGTGTTGTCTATTCTCATTCTCACTCTGCTCAGTTAAATCTTTACTTTCTACTTCTTATTTTATTTTCTTTTAAATCTTTCTATAATTATTTTATTTTCTTTTAAATCTTTCTATAAGTCAACTTTGCCATCGCTCTGTCAATTATCAATTTCTTATCATCTTTTCTCTACTTTAATTATTAGTTTTTTCTTTTTTTTTTTCTTGACCATGCCAACATTTGACTTTGTATGGTCAATGAACTACTTTAAGAACTAAAGCCATTCAAATAATTACCCTTGCTTGCCAAATTGCTCGAGAAAAATCTTGCAGTCACATGCAAGTTAAGAGTTGTGACTATGGGCGATCAAATCATTAAAATATGTGAACGTTTTAGATATCTCGGGTCTATTATTCAAAGTGACAGTGATATATATGAGGATGTTATTAATAGAATTTAAGTTAGTTGGTTGAAGTGGAGGAATAGATCGGGGATATTGTGTGATATAATAGTACTGCATAGACTTAAAGGAAAATTTTATAAGATGGTGTATAAGATGGTGGTGATGGTGAGACCTGTAATGCTTTATGACGCAAAATGTTGGCCTTTAAAAGAGAAGCATAAAACAAAGTTTAGTGTTGTTGATATGAGAATGCTTAGATGGATGAGTGGCTTGACACGTAGAGACAAAATGCTAAATGAATCTTTCTATGAAAGGGTCGGTGTTGCTCCAGTGGTAAACTAGATTAGAGAGAGTCGTCTTAGATGGTTTGGTCACATTAAACGTCGATCATTTGATGATCCGGTAAGGAGAGTAAACGTTTTAAATTTGACTTTTTTTAAGAAAGTAGATGTAGACCTAAAAAGACTTGGGCATATTTTATAAGACATGATCTTAATCTATTAGAATTAAATGAAAATTTTACACTCAATAGGGACACAATAGAGAAAGGATTCAAGTAGCCGACCCCACTTAGTGGGATAAAGATTTGTTGTTGTTGTTGTTGTTGTTGTATGCAAGTTAAAGTTGTAGTTTTGGGCTTGCTTGGTTGCTATCAAAACTAAAGAAATCCGGGTTTATGCATTCCTGAGAATCCTCTAATCCATTAATAACTTTTGAGTAAATCCATAAATTTGTTTGATAGCTTCTAAATGAGATCCCTTTAATTTTCTTAAGCTGTTATCTAAGAAATACTAGTGAATGAAACACATTGAATGTGATTGAGAAAATGATAATGAAAACTGTCAATAATCGGTTAGCTTTACAACTAAATCATGATTTAGGCATTAAGTGCATACCTGATATGTGAGTAACTAATATCTATATTGTAGGGATCATATTAAGCACATTTTCACATATTAATGAAGGAATTATGTACAGGTGCTCTTTTAATGAGGACTCTTATCAACTAGTGTAAACCACTTTCTTGATGTGATCCTTAGAAAAAAAGGTCCAGGAAAAGAAGCTTCCCGTAGTTTTGAACTTTTTTGGGTTAGAAACAAAGGTAATGGCCATGAAAGCATGGAATACAAAATGCATGATTTACTCATGAAGTTTATGTAGAGTAATAAACAAGTAATTCCACACAATTTACTAATAATTAGAGGTGTAGGCAAGCCAATATGGCTTGCTAGCCCATTCAAATTCGGCTCATTAATGAGCTCGTGAGTTAGAATTGTTGACCTATTTTGAATTTTCTTATAAGTACAAGATTTTGAGCTTTAAGATGTTATATATTTCTTATACTGATTAAAATAAGTTGGATAAGCCTATCATTGTGGCTTTCTTAAGGGTGTTTTGGCATAAATTGAAATGAAGGCTAACAATAATGGCTATGTTGCCTAATTCACTTTTTATCCACAATCTATTTAAATTCAATGGTTAGACTTGGACACTTTGGAATAAGAGATTGAAATATTAATAGATTTCAATTCTGTTGAGTTGTAATGGGATCTTGGCATTAGAATTGTTGTGCTACTTTGAATTCAAAGGTACCTCCAAATTCATTATATTGTTGAAAAGGAACTTTGGCATTAAAAATATTAAATTGACTACTTATGATTTGGAATCTCTAATTGGAAGCTATTATATTGTTTCTTGTCCATCGCTTATTTCATGCAGGATTTTATCCAATAAAGTACATAGTATTCACAAGAATGATTCGTAGACATGTTATGAGCAATGGTCTTCAAATTCTTTGATATATAAGTTGTTCGTTTTCAGAGCAATTCGACTGGTTATATGGTGTTGGGAATTTATAATAATAATGAAACCATAAAACTCTCAAACTTGCCTATATTGGTAAAATTTGAAGTTTTGGGTGCTTATCTCATTGTTCAACACAAGTATGCATCTAAAATTTGTTGCTTGCAGGCCTATATTGGTAAACTTTGAAACTGGATGAAATGTCAATTAAATTTTACACAACTTTTTTACTGCCAGGCAAGTAGATGCTTAGTTTCTATGGGAAATAAAATTCTTAGATACTTCTATGGATCTCGGTCATCAAGTCTTCTTTGAACCATACTAATTGTGAGAAGTTACACTAGCTTTTGCTAGCTGGGGTTTAGATTTCATAACTGAAAGCGATTGTATTCTGATTTTTTGAGATTTAAGCGATCTTATTTTATATTACCTAAATGGTAAGAGACAGCTAGTTGGTTTTCTGGACATTGGTTCATATTAACTTTTGATGCTTAGTCTTTTCTATGTAGTTATGGCTATTTCTTTCAAGGTAAATATTGGGCTTTTCCACAACAGTTTATTGATTAAATTTTCGGCATACCTCAGACAACTCCCAGTATCTTTACTTTCTTAAATTAAAATTTGAGTTTAAGATACACATAATACACAATAGTTTTTTCTTGCCTGCTATTGGTATGGATGGCTAATATGGTTATAAAATGTCTGCATGTATAATTAGATATGAAAGCAAACTGCTTTAAGGTGAAATAAGAAAAAAAGGAATTTAAGTTTCTGAGTTTTTCATTCTTCTTTTCGGTTTGAAAGTGATGGAAATGAAACTTTAACTGAATAAATTTAAAAAATTAACTAAAATTGTCCCAAAAATTCTTTAAATTGAAGTAAGGATTTGGTAGGATACTTTTACGGAGTGCCTATGACTGTTCCATGCCTATGTCTTCCTCCACAATCCCTAGCTCCTCTTTATCACTGGTTGCTCACTTAGCATATGCAGGCTGCTAACCAATGCATATCTATTCTATTAGTTCATCTTGCCGGTGATTGACAAACTAGCTCTGGGAGATTGATCTCTTTGTCGGACTTTCCATTTAAAGGTTCTCTTATAATGCCCATTTTGGGTGCGTGCAGCTTTCTTATAAAGGTGGTTATAAAAAAAGTTGAGGGGAAAATATTATTTTTGAATGCAGCTTTAGGTATTATAAATATTTACTATTTGAAAGAGTTGGATGATAGTTTTTTAAAGCAACTATACATTAGCAATTTTTGTTTATAAAAAGTTACTTCCTACCACATAAATCTAAAAAAAAAAAAAAAGTTAAGAGGTAGTAGCCAAATAGAATTGTGGCTATAGCTTTAAAAATAAAGCTTGAAAAAACTATCCCAAACAGAACCTTTATGTCTACAAAACACAGCTTAACCGTCTTATTTTTCTCTTTAAGTAAATGGTCTTAGCATATATCTTTAACGTGTGTGTTCTCATTGCTAGAAAGCTATATTGTTTTGAAGTAAATTCAAAATACTTCCCTTTTTACTCGAACACCATACAAAGCGTCCTTCATCCTTGCTCTTTACTAGTTTTTTATTATCCATCCTTTTTGTTTTTTTTTAATTTGTTTATGGATTGATATTTGTTTTTTTCCCCCATTTTCAAGGTCCATTTTAGCTCCCCAGATGTCAACCAGTTCATTAATTTACTGCTTTCAGTGTCTGCTCAGGACCATCAAAATTCGTTTTCTTATGTGATGTCAGAATGGACCAAATTGCAAGGTATGCACCTTTGTAGTTTGGTGGGTTGTTTTACAGAATAATACCCGGCTTCATAGATAAGTTTTGAATTTGTTTGGTTCCTATCGGTGTTGTTAGAATTGTTTATAATGCATACACCTTTATATAAGTTTTGTGGGTTGTTTTAGAGAATAAAACCCGGGTGTATAGATAACTAACGGATCTGTGTGGTTTGTATCGGCGTTGTTAGAAGTGCTTGGAATGCAAACAGAAGTAAATCAAAAATTGTTCAAAGCTATGTTGTGCTACAACGAGTTGAACCATTCTTCACTTCTGAAGTTACAAGGGAACAGCACTTCTTGTTTGTTTTTTAGATTTTAAGACTACTCCTGCTTCTTTCTGAAGCATTTTGTGGCGAATCATGTGCTCTGTTTTTTCTATCTTTTCTCTTTGTTTGTAATTGTAATATAGTTATCTCGATATTGCTGTGGTCTGAGTTGGCATCTGGATTTCTTCATTCTTTCTTTTTTAACATGCTTCTACTATTTCACTGGTATTTGTAATTGGAAGAAGTTTCCTAAATAAGAATCTTTGCTAGCAGTGAGCTCAAATTATATTTCCCACTCCATTTTTTGTGCAATCTTTTGAATATTCTTTCAAGTTCAGACTTTATTAATAGCTGCCATTATTTCCGTTCAATCTCAATTCAATTAAACTTTTTTGCTCCAATTCTTGTAGTTTTCTTTTCATTCACTATTCCTTAAAAACCTGGGCATCAATGCATGTATCGCTCTTGAGAAGCCCATCGAGGGAGCCATTAGTTCCTGTGTTTTGACAATTGACATTAAGGCTACAATTTTACATTTTAAAACATTTTTATGTGATGAATCCTCTGTTTTTTCCTTTTTTTACTTTCTCAGTTCGTTTCTCTGTATTTCTATCATTGCTTTCCTGATATTGTGGTCTTTCCATTTAGTTCTATGTTTTACCGTGTTTTATATAAGACAGCTATTAACGGGTGCTTAAACATCAGAAAATTTTCTGAATATATAAGAATCTTTTTTAGTTTGTCTGGGCTTGTTTGACGTCTGCAGTGCTGCATGTGCATTCATAGCTCTCAGCTTTATTTTATATAATATGGGTATGTTGTTGAGCATTGAGGTCAATTTAATTTAATTGATAAATAATGCCCATGTTAGTTGCTCCTTTTTCAGGTTTAGAGCCTTACCTCTATGCTTCACCCTCTTATCTTATGACACCACTTTGTACTCGAAAATCCTCTCAACTGACTGTAGTCATTCAATAAAATTGTCTGGTTTGATGCAATGTTGCACAATCTTTCAGGTTCAGAGCTTGATTTTGGTATCGGTAAGTCCTGCAATGTTCCACAATCTTTCCACGAGGCTCTTAAAGGTGGTGGTGATCACACTTTCATTAAAAAGCTTGGTAAAAAAAGTGAGAAGCCAACTTTTTTTTTTTTCACTGAGGCTGAAACTAGCACTCTTGCGTCTTCTTAGCGTTTTGCTCTAATGGGAAAATTCCTTTATGGTCACCCAAAACTTAAGATCATTCGGAAAGATTTTGATGCTATGAAGCTATTGGGCTGTTGGAATATTGACTTACTTGACGACTGGATATACTGATTCAGTTATCTCACGATGCGGATTACACTTGTATTTGTTCTCGTAAAGTTATCAAGATTGCTAACCATTTTATGAAAGTCCTGAAGTGAATTGTCGATTTTGATCCAAAAGCAGAGTCCCCTATCATTCCTGTTTGAAAAAAAATTCTAGAAATTCTCGGGTTAAAATTACATCTATTCAATTTGGAAATTCTCTACTCCTTAGCAATTCCTTTATGGTCACCCAATATTTGAGATCATTCGAAAAGATTTTGATGCTATGAAGTTATTGGACAGTTGGAATATTGACTTACTTGACAACCGACATATACTTATTTAGTTATCTCACAATGCGGATTACACTCGTATTTTTTTCTCGTAAAGTTATCAAGATTGACAACCATTTTATGAAAATCCTAAAGTAGACTGTCGATTTTGATCCAAAAGCGGAGTCCTCTATCATTCATGTTTGGATAAGGTTTCCGGGGTTAAAATTACATCTATTCAACTTGAAAATTCTCTACTCCTTAGCAATTGCTTACAACAATCCTCTCAAGTTTGATAGTCTTATGTTTGCTGTCACCAGACCTTCTGTGGTTTGTGTGTTAGTTGAGAGAGATATCACTCAACCAGCTTCGGATGAGGTATGAATTGGAACCACTCACAACGGGTATTGGCAAAATGTTGAAATAGAACCACACCCTCCTTATTGCTCTCATTATAGTATTTTTGGCCACAATTCTTCTATCTGCTATTGCTTGCATCCTCATCTAAGGTCGGATACTGCTAAAGATCAGTCATCTACCATCCTTGCTGAGATGTGCAACCCGATCCTCTTTCCAACACCGCAGTTCCTGATGAAGAACACCATACCCAAGCCGTTCTACCTCTGGATGCTTCTGCTTTTGAACACTCTTTTCCGGCGGCTGGTTTGGAGCATGGTACTTTGGAGTCCCATGAAGCATCTCCCCATACTACAAGTACAAATCCAAACGTATTTATACCACTCACTGTTATTCAAGAAGACTCACTTATATGCCAAGACACACGAGAGTGCTCCTTTGATCCAATAAAACATCAACTTGTACAACAAGTAGTTGTTTCTAATGTTCAACAACCTACACATGTCTGACACACTTTAGACCAATCCACTAATTAGGTGAGACAATATTCATATGAGGAATGACAGGTCTATTCCAGAAGGAAGAAGAAGAATGGAGGCCTACTCGAGCTCAAGAACTTATTTGGACGATATATTGGTTACTACTGGCAATGACTTTCACATGACACAAAACTTACCAATTTGTTAGCTGACTCATTTCCTAGAACTAAAGGCAGAGGCAGGGCAAAATTGAGTCGCTCTCTAGCTACCTGATACTACGTATTTTGATACTTTTGGTTTTTTTTGGGATTTTGGTTTTTTTTGGGATCTTATGTATTTTTTTGTTTTTTTTTTTTTTTTTTTGAACCATTTGCATGTGGTGGTTATCGTGTGGGTAAGGGTGTCATGCTTGGGTCCTCTCACACAATTTATATGTATCCTTCTTTCTTTTTAATATATTAGTCATTGGACTTTCTAAAAAAAGTATATACATATCTATATATATATATATATATATTCCTTGTGTTAGTTTTTGTTGATTTTTTTGTCAGGACAGCTGTCACCGTCTTAGGTTCTCCCTTCCAGGGCTGTATCCGAGGACAGGTGGTGCTCCGGCTGTATTATGCTCCGAGGTGGTAATTATCTCCACATATTTCCTTTCTTCTTCTACCCACATGCTCGTTGGCATCCTTCTTGCATCCACCTGATCGCTGCCAACATTTATGCGTCCCTCCCCTGTTTGGCCCAGCTTGCGCACCATAGCAACCAATGCCGCTCTTCTTTCTTCCTCCAACTCTGTTATCGCACCCACCCCCAACCTAGAACTCCTCAATTCCACCGCCTCAACATGCAACTTGCCTTTTTCATCCTCTTCCTAGGTTGTCACTTGTTGGTTGTGACATTTTGAGAGTCCGGGCTTGTAACCCTTTTGAATTGAACAATACCACTTGTTTTGCAATTTGCGTTTAGATTAACTCCAGTATTAGAGCTAGTCTAATCCTAGTTCTATTATATTTGTTTCTTAGCATTCGTCTTACCCTCTCTACCAAAAATTCTTTCATATTCCCAAATCATAGAAAATTTTTACCTTACTCTAAATTTTCAAAATCAACAACCCTAAATTAATTTAAATGCACCTTCAATTGTTCACATACATCCTCTTTCACCTCCCAACCCTAAACCCTAGGCATACCACCAAGGAGATACATGCCCAAGGCCACGTGAAGAGATACCACGAGGATTCATTGACTTTAGCTGAGGTTTACAGACATGGAGGATGAAATCCAGAGGAAATTTACCCTTGATCGTGACAGTGATAGTTGAGGTTGCAAAAGAAATGAGAATTTCAACCCTTTCCATAAGGAGGATTCCAGTTATGAAGAAAATAGGCCATGATGCTTTGGAATATATTATTAGATGAAACTGAGAGAAGAGACCACACATAAAGGACATAGGGTCTTCTAGAATAAAGGTGGATCTATAAAAGTTTGATGGATGTATGGATCCCGATGACTTCATTGAATGACTGCAGTCAGTTGAGAATCTTTAAGTATAAGGATGTACCAGAAGATAAAAGGGTAAAACTAGCAGCCATCAAATCGAGAAAAGTCCATCTTTGTGATGGGAAAACTTATAAAGGCAGAGAAAGAGAGAGCAATGACAAGATTATTAGATGGGAGAAGTTGAGGAAGGACATGATGGGAAAATAACTACCTCATTATTGTTAGGATACGTTTCTGAGACTCCATCGCCTACAATTGAAAAGCCTATCAGTGGAGTTCATGACGTAGTTTGGCTAGTTGCAGATGAAAAGTGAGTTGGTAGAGCTAGAGGAAAACACCGTATTTTGGTATCTGGGTGGTTTGAAGCCCTCTATCAGGTATCTGGGTGATTTGAAACCCTCTATCAGTAACGTCGTGCAGCTGCAACTCTATTAGACATTGGGAGATATACAAACCTCAGTTCTGAAGGTGGAGAGAGCAGAAAAAAGCAAGCAACTACAACTAATTCGACAACCACCCACAATTGGAGACGCCAATAGGAGCACACTTCAAGGAGTTGAGAAAATATGTTCGGATAAGCATCGAGCCACCCGGGTGAGAAGAAGCTCGAGAAGAGTAACACGCCTATTACTCTTCCCACCTGAAAATGCTTTAGATGCCATGGGTTTGGGCACATCGCCTCTAGTTGCTCGATGAGTCTAGTCATGTCTTTTACCGAGCAGGGTGCCATGGACGAGAGTATAGATGAGGGGGTAGCTGAAGAACAAGGTGAGGTGTATCATCTTCCAATGGATAAGAACGAGATGCTCATGGTTCA